AATAATAAAAAATAAAAATATTTTAAAAAATACACTTTTTGGTTTTTAAACATGTCCTTATTAGTCATTTGATGTTAAACAACAACTGCTAACTATTGTATAATCAAACAGTTATATTTATCGAATCCGCTATTTACCATCCGCTACCAACTTTCCGCTATCCGCCATCCGCTATCCGCTAACTGCCACCCGCTACCCGCTACAGCTATCCACTATTCGCTATCCGCTATCCACTATCCGCTATCCGCTATCCGTTACCCGCTACCCGCTACCCGCTACCCGCTATCCGCTACCCGCTATCCGCTACCCGCTATCCGTTGAATTTTAACCGCTGTAACAAACAGGCCCCTTGAGATATATATTGATTATTGATTCTATTCCCATTTCACTATTTTTTTCCCCCTAAAATGTTACAAGGTTAGGTAAAATTGTAAATTTATAATTATTCAAAGATCATGTGTGATATTTTTTATACATTTTCTTGTATGGCATCATATCTAACCCTTTGATGTATAAAACAATACTATTTTCATTTTTTTCTTTAAATAAAAAGACAGAGCAATCATAATTGCAAAACTATGACCATTATCGGAGGAGGATCACACCACATTTAGCCCCTTGGCAATGATTTCACATAACTTTTTCTTTAAAAAAAAATGAAATAAAAAACTCATAAGAATGCATATTTTCAAGCAGACTTAAATATATACACATATATATAAATGTTTATGAAAAATATATATATCATTAATAAATCGATATATTACACATATAAGTAATTTATTAAGGGTTTTTATTTAGTTCCTTTCAACAATTTTTACACATTGAAACATCCATATCATCATTTAAAATCGAAAATCAAAAAGTTTCATTATTTAACGCCACACTTGTGCAAGAAAAGATAACTAAAGAACTAAAAAAGAATCAAAAAATAAATTTTAGAGATTAAAAAGAAGCTTTCTCAAGTATAAGGACTAAAAAGGACTTTCCTCCAAAGTACAGGAACCAAAATAAAATTTTAACCTTCTAAATAATTTGCAGAAATTTCTTTACTTTTTTTCTATCAACCTGAGAAACACTTGTAAAAGTCATAACCAATTAGCCATTGCCACCTCCCCCATTTGCTGTATAACATGAACCTTGATCAAATTCTCAGATTAGTATTTGTCGGTGACAGGTGGGTAATATAATAGTCATATCCTCGGTTCCTTACCGAATCTGTGTGTCACATCACAAATAATAATGTTGATTAAGCCGTTGAATTTAACCGATTTTTCCTTTTAATAATGAATGATTAAGCCATGTGATGATGATAATAATAATTAATCTCATGTTTTTTTTTTTGTTTTACAATAATAAAGAAAGTGAAGTCCAGCCGGGATATTGAATTTTGAATGTTCCTTGTAAGGACGGTCGCATCTCATTCCCAACACAGATGTCCTTTGCATTATTTATATTCTTCCTCTTCTTTATGTATAAAACTATATTATTTTTTTTATTAATTTTGGGTGCGTTTCGGTTGTTGTCAAGAGTTTTTTCACATAATTATATAGTATTTTTAAATATATATATTTAATAAATTTTT